AAATTAGATTCTTTATTTGACAAACATTAGTAAATAAATTGTAAATTACAATATAACTATCCGTTCCTGGTTTTGCGAAGCAACGTCGCGCAGCTACCTTATAGTTATACGATTAAGGTCAAAACAAAGCATTTAGGAATTTTGAAGATCATTTAGTCTGATTTTATAAAAATAAGTTATCTGTTCACGAAAATATATTTAGGTTATGTGCATGTGATAAGCAATTCGCGTTAAAAAATGACCTTCTCAAAAGCTATGATAGAATTTTTTCTTTCCTTTTAAAAACCTCCTTATTAAAGAATGATTGTCGTTAGCATTGATATCTGTTTAGTAACAGATGGTTAAAGGTTTAGCCATCGCTATGATTTAAGTCCTATTTTTCATTTTCAATTTAATTTAATTAGTAATTGTATTGCTAATTATTTGTGTAAAAAGATATACGTTTAAAATTTGATTGGTCACGTTATATCAGATCTCGAATAGAAAAGGTAATTTAAATTACGATAATTCCTTATCGTGAAAATGTCGAGAACGGCTCACAGCTCTAAATTGATATCAAAGCACTTGTGCTGAGCCTTTTTTTATCAACAAAAAATTGTTATTTTTTTTGATGTGCCTTTATAAACCTGATTATTTCAAAAATGGTTGGAAAGTTTTTGTCTGTTCACATGCGTGTTCAAATTTGTAATTTAATGTAATAAAAACTTGCAAATTTACGCGTTAATTTTTCACAAAATTTGAACACTAAAACCCAAGTATATATGTTATAGGTCATGTTAGTTCAGAGGCGACATATAGTAAGTTATTTTTGAATCTTTTTGAATCATAATTTGACATATGTTTTATCATGATCGGTAGCATTATATTGATATGTTCTATGACGGTATCGCAATACTCAGATACTACGTCTAGTACAAAGTACATTATTTTTGACATAAACGGCGCCTAGTTTTATAGTTTGCCTGCAATAACGTTTGTGTTGAAATTTTTTACCTTTTGCCTGTGCAGTTGTTTTTTGGATTACTTTGGTCTAGTGATCGCGTCAATTTTGATATGCCATAGCATTTCTTAAAGATATATGAGTGCCTAGTGTTTTCAATTCATTGGATATAGTTATCTAAGATTTCAACTTTGTAAAGTTATTTGGAATAAATTTTCATTTGGTGAATAATTGCTTGAGAACAATTTTTGCATAACGATTATAAATTTCATTTTTTTAATTACTGCAACCTATGAAGAAAGCCATATCTAAACGTTAGATTTTTATGTGTACTTGGAGGATTTTTCTCAAAAACCATTAATCAATTTTCATTATTTTGATTCTATATAGATTTAGAATTTGGCTAAATAACTTTTTATCAAAATCATTGAAGTAGTTTTTGAGAAAACTTTGCTCAAACTTTAAAATTTTAAATTTAAACTTTGATATGTGAACCAGATAATCATGTAAACTAAATTAGGATGCTACACATGAGAATCCGGCACAGATTCAAAAATCGCATGGGAATATGGTATTTAGTAAAACATACGCGATGATCGTTAGAAATGCTCTAAATACTGTATTTTATAATAAATCTTTTATAGAAGTTACTAATGAAGGGCAACATTAGTAAATAACGGTAATTTGGCACAACCTTATAAGAAAAGTGGTCCGGTGGTGGCACGTGGTGGTTTAGATAATGCTCTTAATGGTATGTTTTCTGTGGCACATTTAAGCGCGTTATGCGGGTGGTACGTTTGAAAGATACAGGGTGGTACATTTCAAATGATATGTGATAACACGTATTACAAGCTATTACTGTAGTTATTGGGTTAGGTTCGTGAATTTACGGCTGCAAAACCCGAGCCACTTACAGTCCAATTGGCACGGACATACGGTCCAACACAATCCACTGAATCCGTACTAACTCGAACCATAACGTACAAATCTGGATCTTGACCCTGCCTATCCAAAACAGCCCGCGCTGATCAAGTACATTTTTCTTTTAGAGAATAAGCGGTTGATACGTGCCACGAAGTGGCATGTATTTATTTGTCAGGTTGAGCAAAAGTACCGTTATTCATTAATTTGCCAATAATGAATTACTCGACAATTTATGATCATGATTTGCAGGAAGTTATCTGCTGAGTTTTGCTTTGAATATAAAGGATAGATTAGTGAAGCAACCAAAATTCAGCAGATCGATCCAAATTTAGTGTCAGAATAGGTCCGGAGCTAAGCTGGCATTGAACAATAATACAATTCAACTATATTATAGCAAAATTTGTCATCTAGGCAGCTTTACTTAGTATGTGGGCTACCATTTCATTAGCAAAATTTTGAATGATTTTGGTAGAAATTTATCAATTCTGGCCTATTCCAACCCTAGATTTAGGTCGATCTGATGAATTTTGGTTGCCCCACTAATCTATCCTTGAATAAACATGATTACATATATTGTAAAACAAGAAAAATATCAATAAATTCATGATTATGAGTTTGTTAGATTAGTTTTTCCTAATGTGTTTTTTGCAAAGAAAACATCCTTATTTATTTTAATAATCAATAATCTAATATTTAACAGTTAATGAGTATTACTATACCTAATTATATTCAATGCTTGTACCTTATTTAGTATATAAACTATTAGGTTTAGGCTTCATAATGTTCTAACCATAGTAAAATTATGCTAGAAATAAATAGAAGGCATTTATTCTGATTACTAAAAAATAGATTTAAATATTGTATAAACAAATCTACTCACAAGCTAAAAGTAATATTTCTAAAAATAAAATATAACTCCTACTAAATCTTGTAGTTAAAAAACAATGATATAAAATATATAATTGTATTTGCAAGTACATATTTTAGATAAAAGTTCAGTATACAAGAAATAATAAATTATATATTCTATTCTATTGCTATTGAATTTGTATACTAATATATTATAAAAAATTATTATCATTAATTGTATTAACTATTATTATATTCAAGTTATAGATAATCTATATTTATAAATATAGCTTATTAAGATTCTAAATTATAGAAATATATAAATATAATTTCAAAATATAAACTATAATTCTTAAATAGGTTTTAAAATTTATTGCATGTGCAATATATTGCACCCTTCTGTTATATCAAAATTTTTACTATGAAACCACCTTTGAGATTCTAATAAAAAAATTCTCTGTAAAATTTTGATATAACCTATACCCCTGCCTTATCCCAAATAGTAACCCTAATCCT